ATTGGGTAGAGATTTATAGAAATGGGTTATATGTTAAATTAATAAAATCTTCATTAACAAAAATTCTCACTTGGTACAATACATATGCTTTGTTTCGGAAGAGTGTAAAGAAAGAAGTGTAATTAAGAAGATATATAATAAATAAATTTACCTGATATTCTAATGCTACAACTCTACGGAAAGGCAGCATTATTATAATTTATTTGTAGTGACAAATGAAATAAAAAACTATCAAAAGATTTCTTAGACAAAAGTAATAGATATTAAAAATCCGCAGTATATTGTAATTAACGATAATGTTTAACTAGCATTGTGCTGGATTAGTTACTAAACTTACAACTGAAACTATTAAGTAAAGCTTCAAATTCTGAAGTGAAGTGAATTAGGTGGACAAGCTTCTTTAAATAAAAATGAGAATGTTCCATGTCACGTTCGTGTTAATTTATATGTACTCTCGAATATTTTGTCAATAAGAAAATCAGGACCGGATCCAAATAATTACCTTACATTAAGGTTACGAGGAGAAACTTATCAAAAATTAATGATACCTAATAGATTTTGATAAATAAAAGCAAATATTATGCTTAAACTGTATTTACACGAATAGATTTTCAGATAAGTATAATGAAATATTGGAAATATAGCCAAATAATGTTCTTGCATTAAGATTACGAGTTAAAACTTACTATTATCAGAAAAATATGATGAAGCATTAAAGGATTTTAATAAACCATTAAAGACAGAATCAAATAATATTATTGCATTGAAATTTCGAGGAAAATATGCAAGATGTTGAATAAATACGAAGAATTACTCAATGATTTTAACAAAGTACTTAAAATAAATTTAGATGATGTTTCTGTAATAAATTTAATAATTGAAATAGAGAAAAGCAAGAACCAATCATTAACTGATACGACACAAAAGCAACAAACTGATTCTAAAGCATAATAAAGTCAAGCGAGTTCATAAACTGGATTCCATATACTCGATTTAAAAATAAAAATATTTAGCTGAAGGTGGTTTTGGTGTAGTGTATCGTGCTATTTTGATTGAAGATGGTAAGAGTAAAATAAAGTGGTTCTAAAGATATAACAGAAGAATTTTTGAAATTTTAATATTCAATTAATTATTTTTAATTCATTAATTTGATTTTAAAAATAAATAGAAAATTTCTTATGGAATAACAAGTTCTAATGATTTTATTATACACTACTATGGTATAACCAAAGATCCTAATACTAATAGCAATATTCTAAAGTTTGCACCATGTTTTATTAATAAATATTGATAAAATTGCCTGGCAAACGAAGTTAGAAAGATTATATTGTATTACAGCATGTATTTATTTATTAAGTTTAATTAAGTATATTTAAATATTAACTTTAAGTTAGTATTAATAATTCCATGAAATTTTAGGAATTAAAGTTAGTATTAATAATTTCATGAAATTTTAGGAATTACACCAATTACACCGAAAAAAAAGGGGGAATCATGTGGAATTCCTAAAATTTTTATGTTTAATTTTATGTTTTGGCTTCATTTTCCATGTTACCGAAAATAAAAACCAATACGTACAGTACATTGTATATTCTTTATGATAAATACTTTAAATGAACTTTACTAGTTCTCTGAAATATTACTGGAAAAATATACTGAATTTAATTATATTGAAGAAACTTAATGAATTTAATTCTGAAATTGAGGAAGAAAACGAAATTGGAAGTAATGTAAATAAAATTTACTAATATTAAAAATAAGTATGTAATTAAATTACTGATATCTATTTTAAAGGAAAAGAAGAAATTAGATTTTTTATTCCAAGTGATAAAGATTAGACGATACATTATCTTATTCAAATGTAATAACTTGTATCATTATCATCAAGTTCATTAATTTATCAACAATCTAATGGTCCATATTAAAAAAAAAAAATTCTTAGAACCATTAAATGAAATTGATAATAGTAAGCCAATTAATAAACATTTAGAAAATAAGGTACAGTAGTTTATTTAATTACGTGTATTTAAATAAATTAATAAAGTATTATTTATTTAAATAAGCAGTATTATATTAGTATTATAATAAGATCTTAAAAAAGCCATTTAAGATACCATCTAAGCGTAAAGCTGAAACTGATTAAAAAAATAATACAGATAAAAAATTTCTAAAGGTTTTGAATTACCTAGTGTTCAAATTAATACAACCGGATCCAATATTCAAGTTGATGCTAAAATTACATGAATTTAATACATTTTCGGTAAAATTATTTCACTGTAAATGTAAATTAGATCCATCGGAATCTTCATTTATCGAAGATCTATTAATTATCTAACTATACAGTAAATAATAATTACTTTCACTTGTTCTCTTTCTTGCTAAAACTTTACATTGAATTCTTCAATTATGATAATCAAATCATTCATAAATTTATATAAATTAATTTCTTAATCAATTACAATATTCATTTTCGTAAATATTAAATCTCTAAATCTAATTCAAAAGATAAAATCCAAGTTAATAATAATTCTCAATGGCCATAATTTAATAAAATTATTAATTATTAATAACGATAATAATAAACTAGAATGATTACTTTATTGAATATATTTCTAAAGAAAAATATTAAGAAACTTTCTAAAGTATTAAAAATATTTATTAGTTCATTTAAAATTACATCGATCATCTTAATAAAGCAAAGTCAAATGTATCCACACCATCAAAAATATAACATGTGAACGAGCAAAATTTTCAAATAATTACCAAACCGTTTTATTCTTAGTAAATATCAATCAAAAAAGAAATCAAAAAAATCAAAAAACATAAAGATGTGAATTACGAACAGTATCTTACTGTGATTAATCAATGTCTAGTGCCGGAAAAAAATCAATTTCAAACAAATTAAGTGGACCAATGAAGACGAAATGAGAACAAGTGTTTGTTTGTAGAGTAAAGTTATCAATTTTTTGCGGAAGGAAAACTCTTTCGTCGATTCTTGAATAAGAGTACTGCATGAGTTTTTAATTATAGGAACTTACCGGCTTGGAATTCGGAATGTTTCACTTTATGTTATGTGCCTACAATCAGCTTTACTTTTATTAAGTGCTCTGAAACAGTTTACTAATTTTGTGTTAACTGTAGAGACCGAAAAATAATTTTAAAGACGTTGATATGGAATAAAGTTGAGAGGTGTTGTGCTGAGTTTTTTATTGGGCTTATATGACTTTTTATAACTGCAAGCGGGAGTCTCTAGCTCTATAATACATATGACATCACAAAAGTTTTTAAAAAATCAATTTTCCTCCATTGAGAACGTTGACAATATGATGATATGGAATTGAAATTACCATGAAACAATTCAAAAATGATCTACCATCTTTGGTTATTATGCAAAGGTAACGTAAAAAAATTCAACTGCAGAGAGTTTGAAGTTTAATCCACTACACATAATTTACACTATACTGATATGTTAATATAGTCCTGCAAAATTTGTATTCCTCAACATTAAAAATAATTATTATGACTTAAAATTAAAATTAATGATTATTCAGGGTGAAAAAAAAGTTAAAAGGTAATTTGTATTTATTTTTATCTTGGCTTTTAAAATTATCAGATTAAATTACTGACAAATTCTGATATTAAATTGGATTATAGATCGATCCAAGAAGATTTTGAACAACTTTGATATCTAAATAGAAATTTGCTTTTAAAACAATTTTTTTTAAATATTATTTCTCTAATTATATTTTTTAGTTTTTTTTTTTTTTTATTTTGTTGTTATCGTCAACTGAACTGATAGATAAACAATATAAACAAATAAATAAAGGGAAGATCTATTTATTATTCTCTTTATTATTATATATTTATAAATAAATAATTTATTAGGTTAAAATATTATTAATACTAGTGTATACGTGACGTGTAGATGAAGGATATGGAAAATTCTATGAATAATTTATTAGGTCGAACAAAGTTAATAACTTCGGAAGTTCCTTCTTTAAACCTTGGCTCATAAATGATTTCCTTAAAAAGAAAATAACATTAACTTTTTTTTTTACTTCAATTCAAAGCTTAGTTTTTTCATCGAATACAAGAAGTACCCATTTATCCCAATTATGTACATTATGTACAGTACTTACAGATTAATCAATTTAAACTAATTAAGCTATTAATGCACAAATGCAAGATCATCTGAGCCCTATTTACATAAGAGAAATAACCGTTTCTTATTCTTTGAATTCACACTTTTTTTGTAGACATTTGTAAATTTCTTAAAAATTCTTTAATATTTTTTTCTTATTCTCTTATATTCTCTTTTGGTTCTCTTTCGATTTTGTTTGCAATAAATAATAACTTTTAGCACCGCACCAATTAATTTATTAATAAAACTTGAACTTGGAAATCAATTTTGAGTAACAAATAATTGTTTATACATATATGGTAATAAAAAGCTTGCATTACACCGGTAATGTTTCCGATTACACAATTTTATGCATTTAACGATAAAAAGAAATTGCCCAAAGAAATCCGTAATTTTAAAACACTTTTTTGTGTATCGGTAAGAAACCTATCATTTTTTAGCAAAGAAAACATATTAAGAAAGAAAAAAGATAAACAAATATATAGTACGTATAACCGCTCTCTTTCCTTTTCATTTATCATTAACTTATTACTTATAGCACCACGTTCTTTTTTTTTTAAACAAATACACACATACAATTCTTATATATTCTGAAACTTGAATTTATGTAAAAAAAAAAACAAGTTTTAGGGAATACATTTTCATGTCTATCCTACTCTCCTTAAATATAGCCACCGTAATCATTTTGGAATAAGAAAAATCTTTACTCACACTTTCTTTAAACACTCCCTTTTGTCTATATATTCTAAAAATTCTACGGATTACTTATTATTTTTATTATTGTTATCATTATTATAATTTATTGTCGTAATTTCTTATCATTTAACTTAAAATAAAGTAAAATAATAAAAATTTCATAATGGCAGAAACTCAATTTTCAGATTTCTCTAAATCACTTGAACAAAACGTAACATCGGATGTAAGCAATGATGGCAAAATAAATTTCTCCACAATAAATTCGCTTTCAACTTTTAATCCTTCTTCGTCTCCTTTCAATACCATCTCTACTACAACTTCATCAAATAAAACCCTTACAGATGAACCATCATTAATTTCCAAAGATTTACTTGATTCAGTATTCAGTACATTTAGTGATAATTCTAAACATGAAATTGATTTAAGTTTGGACGTGAATCGCAAGAGTTATGCTAATAATAATAATAATAATAATGATAATAATAATAAAGTTGTCAATAATGAGAATGATAAAAAAAATAGACGTGTGAGTAAAGTGATTTTATCAAAGAACATTATAAAAAAAGGTAAATTATTACTTATTATTTTTTTTTTTCTATTACTTTATTTGTTATTTTATTAAATTCTTATATTGATTATCACGTGATTTACTCTTTAAAAGAAGAGAAACCTAAAAAACAAGATTTTCGAACGCCAACATCATCGTTCTTGTTAACAGGTAACTATTAATATTTTTTTATTATTTTATTATTAATTTCCTTCCTTTTTTTTTTTGACTAAACTAACGAGAAATAAAATAAAAAATCAGATGAACTATTTAGCAGTATCGATTTAGAAAAGCTTGCCGGTGAAGTTAATGTTGGAATACCAATATCCTTTTCTTCAGTATCTCTAAACCTTGACATCGCTGGTAAGTTTAGATAGATATATGAATATTTAATATTTCAATTTTTTTTATTTTTCTAATAAAATTTATATTTTTTTTTTATATAAAAGATTTTACAAAACCTCCAGTAACATCAACATCACCTCAAGAAAAATATAATAATCAATTGAGGGAAGTGAGAATAGTCAATAATGAATCTAGACAATCAAAAATTTCTTGGAAAGAGAGATCAGACTGTGGATGTACGATAATGTGAATAATAAGAGATGTTCTCTCCCTTTTTTTTTTTTAATTCCCTTTAATTATTTTTTCATGTCATGTTTTAATTAATGTTGTTATATTATTATATTATGTTTTTTTTTTTCTTTTTTTTTTTTATAAATATTTTGTTATATTATTAGATTTTTTTATAATCCAAGAGAGTAATTATTTATTATTTCTTAATTTGCGAGTTAAAGCATTCCATTAATAATTGTAAAAGTAGTAACTTATTTGTCAAAAGTATTATTTACATCTCGCGAAAATTACTCAATATTTGGAAATTACATTTATTTATTTTTATTCATTATTTATTTATTTTTGCACATTAAATTATATTATATTACATTTTTTATTTTATTTTTTACAATTTTTTACATCACATCATTTCCCCTATCAATATTTAGCATTACATTTCCGAAATCTTAACAATGAAAAATTTATGAATTAAAAATTTTAAAATTATGAATTTCTTTTGTAATTATTATTATTTTAAAGAAATTAAAATAATTAAAGAAATTTTCAAATATTAAACTAAAATTTATCTAACCGTTAAATAAACATGTATGCAATTGGACAGTTTCAAAGCATGACTTCATGATTTTCGAGAATTGCTCTGAAACAATAATATCAAACAATGGACCGTTAGAAGAAAAAAACGTTAAAAAAAAAAAACGTTAAAAAACGTTTCAGAATAGAATACACTAAAAAAAATAATAATTTTTAAAATTCATTCATGAAATTATGAATTTTAAGAATTTTATGATTATATAATACTCATATTATTTATATTTTACTTATATCGTCGTAGAATATGTATTAAATAGAATCGGATAAAGATCCGTTCCGTTTTTGAAAAAAAAAAAAAATTTCACGTGAAAATTTTATTAAACGAATAATAATCTAACCTTTCTGTTATATAATTGTTATTACTTATATTAAATTATTTATATTGTATTAAATTATTTATTACTTAAATTGCTATGAAATCTTAAATGTTTTAATGAACCACGAAAAAAAAAATGAAACTATTTGTTGTTGTAATATACGATATATTATTTATATTATTGTTGTTACATTATTTTGACTGTTGGAATTTTTCAGCCAGAGAGTGAATCATTGAATCCAATTTATTTTAATTTATTGAAATTGTCAATTATATCTCAAAATGTTTCACAACTTCCATCTTTGGGATAATATTTAAATTCCAAATACACACGGTTACACTAACAAAAACACATATTCAAAAATATAATTCATTCTAACACAAAAGGAATTGTTAATATATTTAATTAATTCATTTCCATTTGGAGAAATGAAAGATGACACTTGTAATTTTACACTTCATTAAAAAAAAAGGAACGAATTGTAAAATTGTTTCTAGATAGAATTAATAAAAAATTAAATTTTTTTTAAAAAAAAAAAAAAAAAACTTTAAATGAATAAATAAAGAATTAAAAATAAAAATAAAATAAATAAATAAAAAAATAAATAAAAAATAAATTAGGAAAATGGGAAAAGAGAGGTTTTGCTTTCATACAATAGGATTCTAATGCAGTGCAACATTTACCGTTCAAAATAATACCAGCATGTCTTAGTCTCACTTTTTACGTGATTCGTTCGTACATGTCTCACTACATTATTGCAGTTCTTCCACAAGATATGCAGAACATCGCGATAAGCCAGCCAGCTGTAAAAGGTCGAAATTAGACTAACCTGACCACGTGCTTCAAAGATGCTTCTAAAGGATAATTAAATCAGTTTTCTTTAAAAAATCTTGGGGTTACGCAACTGCATAATAATTACAATAATTAGAAAGGAATTGTTCCTATATACAAAATATATAACGAGTATAAAACCACCATCATCCGCTAATGAAAAATCCTTTTTTTTTCTATCGAGTGTATCGAGTGGATTTTTTATTTTTTTCACTTGGTATAAATTGATGTAAAAAAAAAAAAAATTATATATATAATATACAAATATAAACATGAAAATTTTCAATTAATGAAAAAAAATAATAATAATTAAAAAATTAAATAAAAAATAATAATAATAATAATTAAAAGTAATATAATTAATTATAATAATCAACTATTCTTAACTATAATTAACTATAATTAACTATAATTAAACATTAATAATAAGTATAATAAGAAAATTAAATTAATATAAAAAAGCAATATAATATTAATAAAATTATTAACAAGTTAGCAAAATTATTAACGTACCGTAACTAACGTAATAGTAAGTATTTTATAATCATATTTCATTATTATTATCCTTTATAAATTATATATATATATATATATATATATAATGTCATAAGAACAAGAATAACCAAGAATAAACTTTTGTTGAATTATATAAATTCGCAGAAATCATTTAGGAAAATATGTCTGTTCGATCGGATAGAGTTGATTCAGGAGCTTTTTGTGAATCATGCTTAAGATGTGGACAACGATTACCCCTTAGTCAATGGTGTCAACATTGTGAAAAAAAACAATTTCAAAGTAATTTCAATACTTGGTATAGTGGAAGTGATAAATTGGATAAATTAATTAAAAGTTCACAAAATAAATCTAATTCTTCGATTGATTACATTGAATGGATTCCTTTTAATAAATTGAATGATATTAAATTTATTTCTTCGGGTCAATACGGAAGTGTTTCTTCCGCAATATGGATGGATGGACCTCGATGGAATTGGAATGAAGAAACAAGTTCATGGGAAAGAACTGGTCCAACGGTTGTAGCTCTTAAGACAATCAATAATTCCAAACATTTATCTGCAACATTCTTTAATGAGGTAATTTTCTATTTTATTTATTTATTTATTTATTTATTTATTTATTTATTTATTTATTTATTTATTTATTTATTATTTATTATTTATTTATTTATTTATTATCATTCATTATATTTTTTATTCATTTATAATTATGAAATTATTTTCTTTAGCTCAAAGGATTTTATAATAATTCAATCGAAAGTAACAGAATCGTCCATTGTTATGGTATTTCGCGTGATCCTAAAACAAAAAATTATATGGTAGTTATGGAACATGCTAATCAAGGATCTTTACATCAATATCTGGCTAAGAATTTTACTACTCTTACGTGGCATAAGAAACTAAATATTATAAGTGATATTGTTCAAGGACTTAAAAATATTCATGAAGCAAACCTTATTCATCGAAATTTACATTGTGGTAATATTTTAATTCATAGTAATGGAGGAAGTAATAATAGTAAAGGAGATTATGCAGCTATTGGTGATATAGGATTAAATCGTCACGCGGAGAAGTCACTTAAAATTTTTAATAATCATGTTTTATATGGAGTAATGCCTTATATTGCTCCTGAAGTATTACAGGGAAGACCATTAAGTAAATCTTCCGATATTTATAGTACCGGAATGTTAATGTGGTTAATTACTTCGGGTAAACAACCATTTGAAGAAAGGAATCAAAATTTTCAACTTCAAATAGACATTTGTAACGGAGCACGACCAGATATTACACCTGATACACCACAAGTTTATCAAGATCTTATGGAAAGTTGTTGGAATCAAGATCCCAAAAAACGACCATCGATTCAAACGATACATTTAAATCTTCGCGATATTCTTAAAAATACTTCATTAACTAATATTAAAGAACAACTTGAAGAAGCGGAAAGAATAAGATTAGAATTAATTAAAGAACATGTTACTCTACCACAAAGTGCTCATTTCACTAGTCGAGAAATTAAAATTATACATGTATCACCAACGAAATTAAATCTTGAAATTTACAGTAAGTTTTTTAATAATAATTTTATTTTTATTTAATTTGAATTTATTTTATTTTATTTTTTAATAATTTATTTAATTTAATGTTTTTTTTTAAAAAAAATTTCTTTTAAAAGATATCAAACCAAAATCATATAAAAAAATTAAATTTGGATTGAAAAAACCCGAACAAAGTTTAGGAATGAACAAAGAGAAAATTCATATCCAAGGAGATCCCACTGATACCAAAGATTCACTTATAACATTACCCGAAACATTTAATAACACGGTTCTAAATTTGGAATTAACAGGTATTTGTCATTATTTTTATTGTTTTTTTTTTTTTTAATATTTATTTATCATTTTTTATATTTATTTATTAATTAATTTAATTAATTTATTATTTTTTAGATTTCACTAAAAAGTTCAAAAAGAGCAAGAAAAATGCGGTAAAACCAGAGAAAGATTCCAGTATACCCGACCAAAGATCATGTTGTACCTGTTCTATTATGTGATGAAATACATTCTTGATACTAATCACTTTTAAACTCTATTTTAAAACTCTTTAAAAATCTTTGACGATAATAATCATCTCCAAGATTTATTATATATATATATATTATAGTTTTTTTTTTTTCTTTATGTAATTGTAATTTTTAAATTTATTTATTTCATTTTTTTTTAATATTCCATGTATTCCAAGTAATAAATTATGTTCTTTTTTTTTAAATACCTCTTAAATATATATATTCATGTTAAATTTTTTATATAATTTTACAAAACAGTAATAATACAGTAATAGAGAAGAGAAGTTTCCTTTTTTAAATTTTTTTTTTTTACAAAAAAATAAATAATTGTATTCATATTTTATACTTCAATAACGGACCGCAGATAATTAAATATGACAATTCAGGAAAGAATTTTCAAAAAATAATAAATAATGATGACGTTTTCATTACTGATTACGCAATACTACGCCGCATTAAAAATATATATAAAATACTTGTAATGGGATTGATGTTATATTTAGAAAATGACATCTTATTTTGGTAAAAATAAATATTTAAATAAATACTTAATAATCATGATAAATAATTACAACGGTTATTAACATTCTTCTTTTTTATAGAAGAAAAAGGATTAACAGAACCTACCACAAAGAAAAATTCATCCAACAATCCTGATATTTCGCATTTTTTTGGAGATACGGAAGTTGGGAATTCTAATAATGCAAGAAATAGAAATAACCTGAATGACGATGACTTTGTCATGAATGATGATTTAGAAGATTACTTAAAGTAATAATTTATTTATTTCTTTTCGATTTTTTATTAAAATTAATTAATTTTTATTTTAATTTTATTTAATTTATTTTGATTTATTTTTGATTGATTAATAAAATGTAAAAAATATACATCATTAATTATATATTTTAATTAGTCTTTTACCACCGTTAAGTAGAGATCAAACTGGTGGAAGATTTGGATTTTTTCTTGGAGCCGATAATGATATGCCATTTAATAATCTAATAGATGGTTTGTTGGGTCCACCTCCCGCAAGTAAAAAATTTATTCAAAATTTATCTTCAATTCCAAAATCGGAAATTAATATTGATGAAGCGTGTCCAATTTGTTCGGAAAAATTTGTAACAACAAATGGAGAATCGAAGGATATGAAATCGATCGTGATACGTATGCCATGTAAACATTTATTTGATAAAGAATGTATTTTATCATGGTTAAAACTTGTAAGTATTCTTTAATATTCTTTCTTTATATATATATATATATATATATATAATATATATAATATATAATGTCTCTTTACCTCTTTTATATTATATAAAGCACAATACGTGTCCGATTTGTCGTGATGAAGTAGAATCCGATGATCCAGAATGGAAGAAAAAACATCAAATTAGATCAGATGAACCAGAAGAAGAAGAAGAAGAATTTAGTATTTATGGATAATATATTCATTCATTCATTCATTCATTCATTATATATATACATATATGTCTCAATACATTTTAATTATGATTAAATAATAATATTATTATTAATAGATTACAATATATTTATTTTTTAATTTATTTATAATAGCAAGATCTTATTTTATTCGATTATATGATTATCCATTTTCAATATATTAATGTTTAAAAATCTGGTATTATACACCGTTTATTTTTCTAGAAAAGAAAAAAGAAAAAAAAAAATAGAATGAAACAAAAAAAAAAAATTGTAGCGATCTATTTTAAATATAATAAAATATATCAAATATATTAAATATATTAAATATTAATGGAATATATTAAATTATCAAATATATCAAAATATAATGGAATATAATGGAATTTATTAAATAGAATGGAATATATCAAAATATATCAAATAATGAAATTAATTAATTACAATTTGGAAAAGTGATATCTTTAAGTGTTCCATCAGGATTAAATAAACCCCAACTTCCTTCTAATAAAGTCCAACGTGCAACTTTCCAAGGAGCATCAAGTGCTTCAAAATAATAATATTTAACTTTTTTAGTATTGGCAGCACAAACAAATGTATCCAAGAAAATTTGAAGATTATTGATGGAAGCAACTGCTTGACCGTGAGGGTCACCAGCAGTTGGCCATCCAATTTCTGACATAACTGATTCTTTATTAGCTTGTTTCGCATAATAACCATTATTTTGATCAGTGAAATTAAATGACCAAGCTGCAGCATATTTTACATCCAATCCTCCAAAATATGGATGAATATTAGCCCAAACTTCATCAACCGCATCAGTAAATGCTTTATCTACATTTGAACCTAGATCAGATGTAAAAACGGGTATTGTCTTCTTGAATCCCATAGAATTGATTTTTTTTCGAACGTCAGCAATTCGTTGATATAATACTTTTACATCAAGTTCTTTACGGAAAATAACTAGAATAATTAAAAATAAATAATTAAAGAATAATTTAAAAAAAATAATTAAAAAAATAATTAAAGAAATAATTAAAGAATAATAATTAAAAAAGATAAATATATATATATATATATAAAAATATTTACCTTCATTCCCTACAGATACGCCATCAATTTTATCTACACCATATTTATTTACTACATCAAAGAAATCATCAAATTGCCTTTGATAAGTAGTATCGTTATTATCAACCCAAATAGTAGGAACGATAGTCATATTTAATTTTAATAAATTAATGGCTTCCAAAGTCCATTCAACGGCATGACAATCCATTCCATAAAGTCTTATTCTATTAGTAACTTGAGAAACAATTTTAATATCTTCAATAACGTCACCCAGAGTATTTGTACACCAAGGGTAACTGGCGTTCACGGGACCATAATTAATTCCGTAAAGAATATTTTTTAATTTAGGATTTGGAACTATGGTTAAATTAACAGGTTTTTTATCCCAAGTAAAATATTTATTAGGAGAACTATTATTTCCGGTTCCAATATTTCCATTATTTTCATTACTACTATTATCGGAACTCGTTCCACTGGGTGACTTAAATTTAAGAAAGTAAACCACCCCACCAATAATTCCAAGTAATATAAGAATTCCTATGGTTAAAACTATTATACGATGTCGACGTGAACTTTTTTGTTGTGATTTGAGCCATTCGCTAGCGTTTGGGTCAACCATTCTATAAAATAAAATAAAATAAAATAAAAAATCAAAAATAATAATATTATTATTTATTTTAAAAATAAGAATAATAAATTTTTAAAATTTTCACCTTACGTTTTATTATTATTATTATTATATGATTATTTAATTAACGAAATAAATTTCACCACTAATATAATATGATATAATATAATATGATATAATGTAATATAATATAATGTAATATAATATAATGTAATGCAAAATAATATAATATACTTCTTATATAAAGAAGAGAAAAGAAGAGGTGACGCGGAAAGAGGTAAAAAGGAAGGAAGAGGGAAATGAAAAAGGAATGAAAAGGAAATTGAAGGAAAGGAAATGATATAATGGGAAAAGGAAGAGGGAAGGAAAGTAATGAACGAAAAAAAAAATAAAAAAATGAATTATTATTATTGTTTATAATTAAAATACACGAAAAAGAAAGATTATAATAAAATTGATAGTCGTTGTACTTTATCTTTAGACCAAATTAGGAATCGGGGAATTGGATTTATTTATTATTTATGCAATAATAAATATCGTTATACCAATAATTACTCCTCCTCTTAATTTTAATTTTTTTTTTTTTAATATCATAAAATAACTGTTGAATTCAAATAAACTATATATAAACTGCATATTAATTATTTTATCATCATACCCAGTTTAATTAAATTTTTTAATGAATTTTCTTTTTAAAGCAAATCACACATGTATTGCGTAAAATACACGTGTAATTAAAGAAAAATAATAATTGAGTCAAAAAAAAATAAAATAAAATAAAATAAATCAGCACTCTAAAAGGATCATACATTTTTTTCAAATTTAAAATTTTTAAAACTTTCTATTCCTTACTTCCCTATTTATCACCATGTCTAATGATGTTTTATCAACTTTCACGTGCAATTGTCTTAAAAATTGTATAAAGAATAGATCATCACATTCGAAACCTGAAAAATGGCTAATTTATTATCATCATCTTCATCTTTATCATCTTCAAGAAATAACAATAACGGTAATAATGATGATGATGACGGTGATGATAATAATAACAATGTAATAAATTATAACAATGAAAATAATGAAAACAATAAAAATGATAATATTAACGAAGATATTAATAACGTTAATAAGAACGGATATAAGAAATTAAAAGAAATAATAACATTAAAGACAACATTAAATGATTCAATAACATCATTAAATAATAATGATTCAACAACCGCATTAAATAGTAATAATAATAATAATAATAATAATAATAATAATAATAATGATAATTTAACACCTTCAACAACATCTCATTATCGATTTCATTATAAATGGAATTCTTGTTATCGATGGATTTTATCATTATCATCAATGTTGTCATCGTCATATACACCATCATATTATCGATGGATAATTTTATTTGGATTTTCACTTCTTACATTTTCATCAGCTAGCCTTTGGATAACATTTGCACCATGTTTATATATCTTTATGAAATATTATTCAATAACTGCAACACATGTAAATATACTTTCAACCGTTTATATGATCATCTATCCGATGATCTTATTTCCGTCAATCAAATTTTTTGATAAATATGGAATAAGGAATGGAATAATCTTTGGAGCATTTTTAAATACATTAGGATCATTAATTAGATTTTTGGGATCATTAAGTCAAACGATGTCAGGATATTGGATGATTTTTATAGGACAAAGTATAGCAGCGATAGCTCAAGTATTTATGTTAGGGATTCCACCGAAATTGGCGAATATTTGGTTTAATGAATTTGGGGAACAAAATTTTGCTACATCAATTGGAGTTACAGCCAATAATGCCGGAATTGCAGTTGGGTAAGTATAAATCTTATTATTATTATTATTATTATTATTATTATTATTATTATTATAGATGTTATTAATATTATCAATTAATTATATAGTTTTTTATTATCACCATGGTTGATAAAAGAGGAAACATTTAAATATGATATACCAAAATATCTTTTATTACAATTTGGATTTTGTTCATTGATTTATTTATTTTTGGTATTTACATTTAAATCAGCTCCTGGATCATTTCATAAGTAAGTTATTAATCGTGTATTTATTATATAATTATTCTTTTATTTATTATTATTATTTATTATTAAATTTTTTTTATTCAATTATAAATATATAAATTATATAGACGCAGAATTAAACATAACAATCCAATTATTATACGAACGGCTACAACTGCTACAGTTTTATCATCACCATCATCATCGTCTACTTCATTATCTACTTCTTCATCATCAGTAAATATATGTTATTATATGACACATAGACCATTTTTATTACTTTCAATTTCGTATGGAATGGTTACAGGTGGTCAATATGCATTGAGTACTTTATTGGCTCAACTTATTTTACCTGTATTTGATAAATATGATGAGGTAATCATTATATTCGATTAATATTATTATTAAATATTATTATTAAAATATTATTATTTAAATATTATATCATTATAATTAATATTAATATTAATATTATATGCATTAGTCAACAGTGGGATTTCTAGGATTTATGCTAGTAATATCGGGAATGATTGGATCATTAATAGTTGGAGCATATTTAGATTACACTTTAGCTTATAAGAAGTCATGTCGTTTATTATATATTGGAGCCATTTTATCTTTGGGGATTTTTAATTTATCATTGAAATACGCAGTTTCAGCTTTAATGTTTGCATCAAGGTAAATTGTTATGATTATTGTTATTATTTAATATTTATATTTAATATTTAAATATTATTATTTAATAATAATATATTATTATTACAGCATGCTATTTGGAATATTTTCTTTTGGTAAGTATTATTGTATTTATTCATATTATTTATTATTAATTTTTTTTTTATTAATTTATTATTAATTTATTATTATCATCTTAATAATATTATTATATTAATTATTTATTATTATGATTATTATTATTATTATTATTATTTATTATTATTTATTATTATTATTATTATAGCAATATCACCAGCAGTATTTCAATATGCTACAAAATTAATTTCCAAATCTTCCTCATCATCCTCCTCATCATTATTATTATTTGATGATAAAGATGAAGTTGTTGATGAAATTACTTCAACAGGAATTTTAAATTCATTTGCTCAAATTTGGGGAATTTTATTAATTTCTTTAATGGATTCGATGGAAAATTTAAATAATAATACTAAATTCCCTATGGAATTATCAACTTGGTTTTTATTCGTAATTGTTTTTGGTGGTGGTTTAATTTTATTATTTTTAATTCCACCATCATTATCAACTGCTAATAATAATAATAATAATAATAATAATAATTTCGAAGAAAGTGATATTGATTTTATTGAAGAAATTCTAGTTGATTGATTCAAAAAAAAAATTTAGAGAAAATTCTCATTCATAATTATTAGCTGAACTTTGATCCTTGGCAATAATACTTATAGTATCTAATATTTGTTTCAATAGAGATTCTATTTGTTTGATTTAAATATTAAATATTATATTAAATTAAAAATTAATTTCATTTTTTATTGATAAAGTTATTGATAGAAAATAGAATAAATTTACATTTTATTATTATTATTATTATTTTTTTTTTATTCTTAAATTATTATTTAAATTAAATTATTAAATTAAATTTAAATCCCTTTTTTTTTATCTTACCTGCGTTTTGAACTGATTTTTTATATTCTTCATTTGCTTCTTGTAATTCTTGTTCTAAACTTTGAACATTTTCGATCTTGTAAAATTTAAATATTAATAAATTAAAATTGTTTCATTTTTTTTTTAATGAAATAATAATAATAATAATAAAATAAATTTATTCATTTACTTGGTCATTTTCTGTTTGATCTTTACCAGGTAATGAATCAATTAATAAATCTATCTGCTTTGCATTTGTACAAAGATCATGAACTATTTCTTGTTGGTCAACTATACAAATATTACCAATTAAATATTAAATAATTATTTTAATTAACAATTAATATTTACTTACTTTTAAATTGTTGTGGATCTTGTACTTGCACTATATTTTATTAATAAAATTAAAATAAATTAAAAATAAATTAAAATAAATTAAATAAAAAATTAAATAAAATGTATACATACAATTAGTATTATTTAGTTTATCTAAAACTGATAGAAAAATAGAAACTATCTTTTTTATTTATATATAAAAATTATTATTACATATATACATATTTTCATTTCATTTTATACTTGAAAACTAACAAAAAAGTTATTATACTCTGTCTATTGATTGTTGTAATTGCGTGATTCTGTCCATATTTACAGACGTTGCTTCAGATAATGTTTCGGGTTTCGCTGAGGGCGAAGAATTTTGCATGGATTGTTAATAAATGTAAGTAAAAAAAAAAAAAACTACGTTTTAAAATACTCTGTATACAACATACATGTACACTTTTAACCCGTTAATACACGTGAGATTTACCATTAACAGTAAAAAAAAGTAGACGGATGAATCTTTTCCTTTTCTATTATATAAATATATATAACTTACTTCAACATTACCGACAATAATAATAATAAATACAAATAATAACGATTCTAAAAAAATGAAAAGTGAAACCGAAAATTGTAGGTAGATTCCAACCATCAAGATTTCCTATTAGAAAAAGTGCACTTTTTTTTTTTTTTTTAAAGATCTATCTTTTTATAGATCTCGAGAGATATTTTAAAGATATTTAGGAATCTTTTTTACTTTATTAGATTTTATTATAGATCTTGGTTAAAAGAATTTTCTTGCATAACATATTCTTTTATTTAGCTAACGAAATTGACGAACTTTCTGACAAGATTAGTGGTCTAAAAACCCAAGATGGTATGCTAAATTTATATATTTACATATGCATATACATATATGTTCATTTATATATATACATTCTTATATGTTATATTCCTTCCTTCTCTTTTATTAGCAAAACATAATAATTTGCAAGAAACGCAGTCTGATGTTAAGCTTATTAGAATTCATGACGATGAGCCCGTACTCTCGGTCACTACCTTTGAAGAACTAAATTTGTAAGTGTTAATAAAGTTCGCATTATCCTTAAATTATTTTTTAAGATCATAATGTAAAGAGAAATAATAAATTATAATAATCAAGTTATTTGAATTGATTTTGATGATAATGTAATTATTAGGCATCCTGACGTTCAAAAAGGAGTTTATGAAATGGGATTTACGCGACCTTCGAAAATTCAAGCAAAGGCTTTACCTCTTCTTCTTAGGTCACCGTAAGTAATAATAATAATAATAATAATAATAATAGATTATTATTATTATTATTTTATTGTTATATATTATTTAACTTTTTATTTTATAATTATTATGATGCATTATTTCTAGACCACAAAATATGATCGGGCAATCTCAATCCGGTACTGGTAAAACTGCGGCATTTGTTTTAACGATGTTAAGCAGGATAGATTTAAATTTGAAAGCACCACAAGTAATTAATAATAAATTTTTAATTCTTTTTTTTAATCGTTATATAAATAATTATATCAAATAAATTTAATTAATAATAAAATCCTAAATTATAAAAAATAGGCTTTATGTCTAGCACCATCGAGAGAATTAGCTCGTCAAATTATGGTAGAAGCAAGAAAAATGGGAAAATATACACCCGTAACTACAGCTGAAGCAATTCGTGATAGTAGTAATAATAATAGAGATCGAAATACCATTTTTAAAGAAGCTCAACTTATTGTTGGTACACCAGGGACAGTTCTTGATTTAATCAAGAGACATATTATTGATAAGAAAAATATTAAAATCTTTGTCTTGGATGAAGCTGATAATATGTTGAATCAACAAGGATTAGGTGATCAAAGTATAAAAGTAAAAAAGTATGTGTCTTATGTCATTATTAAGAATTATTATTTTTATATTATTATTATTATTATTATTATTATATTATTATTATTTGTTATCATATTATTATTATTATTATTATTATTATTAAGAATTATTATATTAAATCTAATTATATTTTTAGTTTAATGCCTAAAGATTGTCAGATCGTTCTCTTTTCAGCTACATATGAGGATTCAGTGCGTGAATTTGCTGGAAGATTTGCTCCTCATGCTAATGAGTTTAGATTGAAAATAGAAGAAATGTCTGTAAAGAATATCAAACAATTCTATATGGATTGTACGGATGAAGAACACAAATTAAAAGTATTAAGTGAATTATATTCAATTTTGACAATTCATCAAAGTATTATTTTTGTTGAGGTTCGTTGCAAATTTTATTTATTTATTTATTTATTTATTTATTTATTCATTTATTTCATTTTATTTATTTATTTATTATTCATTTATTTTCATTTTATTTTTATTTTATTATTAATTTATTTTTATTATTTATTTATTTGGTCATTTTATTTTCATTAGAGACGTGATTCTGCCGATAGAATTGCTAAACGTATGACTGACCTTGGTCATAAAGTTATCGATTTACATGGTGGTCTTTCAACCACTGAACGTGATGAAGTAATGGACGGATTTCGTAAAGGAAGTGCCAAAGTTTTGATCTCCACTAATGTAATAGCTAGGGGTATTGATGTTATGCAAGTTAATCTAGTTATTAACTTTGATATTCCCGTGAAAAGAAATGAAGATAATAAAATAGTGGCCGATCCTGATACTTACCTGCATCGTATAGGTCGTACAGGTCGGTTTGGTCGTAAAGGAATTGCTATTAATTTAGTTTCCGATAATTATAGTTGGAAAAATCTTCGTTCTATACAAGAATATTTTGAACGTGATATTACTCAAATTAAATTAGATGATTGGGATCACGTAGAAACTTTCTTGAAAAATGAAATTAAGGCTTTGGATGCCGCTTAAAAAAATATCATAATATATATATATGCTCAGTAATGATAAATGATAATAATATTTAATTATATTTTCAAATATTTCTTAATAATGACAAGGTTTCTTATTATTATATATATATATATATTAATTTGAATATATTACGTAAATATGTTACTATAAAAAATATTCCGAGTTAAAATAAATTTGTCTCTCCATTACGTCATTTGTTTATTTATTTTAGTTTTATGATATCCATTTTATAATTTTATGAATTTCGGACTAGCCTTATTTTACTTTGGAGAAAAATTAGGATTACATAAAATTATGTCATATTATTTATATTATTCGTCGTTAAGTCAATATGACGTACAAAAAAAAAGAAGATAAATTAGATATAAAGAGGATAAAAAGTAAACTTATATACGAATTTTCGTGTTAAAAAAATAAAAAAATAAATCAAAAAAAAAAAAAATCAAAATGTTTAAACCTCGTTACTTGAATAAAACTATTTCTTCGGAATTTTTTTTGAATTATTCTTCTCGTCAATTAACAACTTATCATATTCTTCAACAACGTTTATCACCTCTTCAAAAAGGTCCTCAAGATAATGATCCTCATAAAGTAGGTCCTACTCGTGAAAAACCAATAACTGAAGGTCATACAGTTGATAAGGCAAAAGAAAATTTGGAATCATCTAATAAATCGGATGAAATAAATAGTCCCGGAAAAAAAATTAAAGATAGAGTTACTCGTTTAATTTCTCCGAAACCATTAGATGTTCAAGCCAAAGCTGCTGCCAGTGGACTTCAAAATCATCAACGTCAATTAAAGGATGATGATGATGTATCAAATAAAAAAGAACAAAAGGCATCCGAAAATGTACAATCGAAAACCCAAGAAATACTGCAAACTGTTGGGGGTACTGTAAATAATTTGAAAGAAATGGGTCAAAATGTAGTAGATAACGTTCGACAAAAATCAAGTGAAACAATAGAAACCATTAAAAATATGCCTTCAAATATTGCGAAAAATTTGAAAGAAACTGTCCAATCAACACACGAGAAAGGGCAAGAAACAATGGAAAATATTCGAGAGAAGGGAAAAGAATATACTCAAGCAGCACGTGATAAAGGACAAGAAACGACGGAAAATATTCGAGAGAAGGGAAAAGAATATACTCAAGCAGCACGTGATAAGGGGAAAGAAGCAATTGAAAATGTTCAAGAGAAAGGAAAAGAATACACTCAAGCAGCTCGTGATAAAGGGCAAGAAGCAAGTGAAAATGTTCAAGAGAAAGGAAAAGAATATATTCAATCCGCACGTGATAAAGGGCAAGAAGCGGTTGGAAATGTTCAAGAGAAAGGAAAAGAATATCTCAAATCAGCACATGAGAAAACTCAAGAAACGATTGGGAATGTTTCAGAGACTCAATCGGTACGCGATAAAGGTCATGGCAGCGGAAGCGGAAAATATCAGCAAAGTGTAAGGGAAGATCCGAATGCTAAAATTGTAAGTAAAATAATAAAAAATTTTATATAAAATAGAATCCACTCATATAATAATTATTGTTATAATCGTTTAATTAGGGATTAAATGATCAAATAGGAAATTGGGTAAAATTGGATAACAAATTTTTTTTATTTTAATTTATGAGTTTTTTTTTTCATTTTTATCTTTTTTTTAAGGATACAACGGCTAATATGAGTGATTCCAAGCAAGAGGCCAATAACTTAGAGAAATTACGAGCATCAATTTATGAAAATGATTTAAGAAAAACGCGACAGTCTTCCAATCAATCGGAGCAAACGCAACAACAATCTTCTGATCAATCACGACAAATGCCAAATCAAGATTTAGCTAATATCAAACCTGAAGAACGAAATCCTTCTAATCCTATTGAAGAAATTAAACCCATTGCTGGAAACATTGCTGATAAGGTTAAAGATACCGTGGATAACGTGAAAGGAAAAGTCGAAGACGACGAACGAAAAAGTAATTAGAAAAGAGAAATAATAGAAATAATAAAAACACTTCTTTTTATTTATTTCGTTTTATATTATACTTTAGTCGTGTAACAGATATAAAATAAAATTGTAATGAACGTTCATATATATATATATATATATATAGTATATATTCATAGTTATTAAAATTCGTAAAGTATAAGAAATCGCTGAAGAGTCGCCTTTAATGAATTTAATTAATTCGATGAAGTTAAGAATTATATAAAAGAATAAATAGATCAATAAAAATAAATAATATCTTACATTATCGTGATTTATAATAATAATATCTGTATCGTTGTCACTGACATTCAACACATCAATGACGAATATTGTACGAAGATAATCTTGTGGTAGGTTTAAATTAAAAGAGAACGAATTAGCAATTGATGCACTTTTTGAAAACCACATATCTAGAAAATAATAGAAAAAAATTACTATATAATTAATATTTATTATAATCATTATTATAATTATTATTAATAAAATGTTTATTTACATACTTTTTCCACGCTTCGAGAATTTTGATTTATTTCCATAATTTAGAATTCCACACATTCCACAGAATTCATCGCTACAACAAATTCCATATTCTAGAATATCATTTGGATCACATTTAGCTCTCGTTCCATGATAAACTCTCTGTGTTATTTTTTTACTCCAATTTTTTGCTCTTTCATTATGTCGTTTTCTTCTTGCCATTCTTTCTTCTTCTTCTCCATTATCATCTTCTTCTTCAGCATCATCATCATAAAAAGCTTTAATCATTTCTCTTCTTAAATCTAAATATTTCTTTGTACGTTCTTTGGGCAAATGAATTTTAATTATTGCAATAATTTTTACCAGTGACATGGTATTTCGGATATGATTTTCAATTTCGATATATTCCGGATTAGTATTAGAAAGGAGAGATAATTGAGGACAAGTAGATAATTCAAGCATCGTTTTATAGCAATATGAATCACATGATGAAGAATGAATATGGGTATTTTCTTTATAACGAATTTTTTGTTTATAAGAATTATTATTACTTTTTTTATTTTTTGATGGTTCTTTAATATTACCACTACTACTACTACACAGTGTTGATAATGGTGGTGGTGAAGAATTTTCAGTAGTAATGAGAATTGAAGAATATTTATTAGTAATATTTTTAGAAATATAAAAAGGATCATAAGTTCTAGGTAAAGAAAAGAATTTTGGAAAGAATTTAAATATATCCATTATTTTTTATTGTTTTGTTCTCAGGGGGGTTTTTATGTTCTTTTTTTTTATAATTTTTTATTTTGAATTTCAAAAATGATAATAAATCTAATGATTCGCATCAGTGTAGTGATAAATTTTGTCTAAAAATATCTTTCGTTAATTCTTTGACAAAAAAAAAAAATTATTTTACATAATATACAAGAGAATAATAATAAAAATTTATAAATGCAAATTTAAATAAAAGTATTAAATAAGTCAAAATTAATAGAAATAAAATAATTATTAATAATTATTTAATTAAAATCGGTCTGAACTGATAAAAAATCATTTAACTGAACTGAAAAATCAAATTAAATCACAAAGCGTCAAAATCAATCATATTTTCTTGCATTAGGCAACTGATCATTTGGTGGTGGCAAGTAAAAATTTATAAAAGTTATTTTTTTTATTAGATTTTAATTTCGCAGGTAAAACAAAATTCTATTTATGTTTAAACAGACGGCCTAAACACTTATTAAAGTATGATTAATCTCTTATTTAAAAAACAGAACAGCTTTCAAATCTATTTTTAATTATTTTTCCACATTTTCATTCGTTTCTATATTCGAAATATCTATAAATAAAAGTTTTCAAACATTAGAGAAATAAATTTTCAAAAAAACAAAGGTTTTTATCCATTACTTACAGTTTTGTAATGAAACACTTGACTCGCTAAAAATAATTTGATAATCATGATTAAAAATAAATATAATAAAAATTTAGAAATAAATCCTTGAAAAATTTAAGATAATAAATTTTACTTGTAAAAAGCCGAGATTCCAATAATGAAAACTAAAATCGGAGCAGCAAAATGATTTAATATTGAAGATATATAATTCAACAAAAATACTGAAGGAGATATTATACTCGATGGTAATAATATTATAACATATAACCATAGTATTGTTCCAAGAAAATAATTTGTAGTTCGCATCTGAGATTGAAATCAATAAATTATTAAACTATTTGTGATAAAATATAAATTATGTATCATGATTTTTTTAAGCTTTTAAAAAAAATTACATTTTGTAAATGAACTTTAAATTGCCTTTTAATTTGACGCAATTCAATTTCATTTTCCGCTAAAGTCATACGTTGCTTTGATAATTTTGATAATAACTTTCCATAATAAGTTATGGCGCTTGCCATTATTAAATCATTAATCCAAAAAACCAAAAACATAGTCTCTACAGCGAGGTTCGTTACAGTTCTATCATTTTTATAATGGAAATAATAAGATCCAATAAATGAAGTTACGAAAATCATCACAAAAGAAAATGATAAAATGAACCAAAAGAAGATATTAATTTGAATTTTGGTTGGCACCCATGGAGAATTTCCAGAGGGATTGGACGGATTTGAACTTAGATGAAGGATTATTTTAAAAACTTGGGAAATATAAATGTAAACAGATATTTTTCCAAACCACCAAGATAATGAACTTATAATATCAAAAAATATTGGAAATATTTTAAAGACATCTTGTGCATTTAATATTAAAATAATACGAACTTTTTTTTCAAATATTTAAGAATTAGAATTTAACGTATAATAAATAGTAGTAATAAATACAAATAATGTTGAACGTATAAACGCATTTAAAATTTCACTTACATGTGCAAAAAAATAATAAACAAGATAAAGTAATTTCTAAATATGTCCAATAATATCTTGTTTTTTGTTTTGTAAAATATCTCCAAATTAATATTGACAAAAAAAGACCAAAATTAAGAATCATTAAAGCTATTCCAATATATCCTATAAAATTATAATCATCTTTACGTTGACATTCTACGTGTGGTTTCCACCATCTATCCAAGAAAATTGGAATTTTAATATAAGAAACAATATGAAATTTTTTCACAAACTAAAAATTACACTTACAAACATTGTTCAATTTTATTTTGATCCATATTTTAAAAGGAAACGATTATTAATATTTAATATTGACAATTTTTTTTTTAAAAAAAATATTCAATTTATGAATAAATTGTTTTATTTCAGTTGAAACATAAAGAACATTAAAAAGTCAAGTTCGCGAAAATAATATATTTCAAAATTATTTTATGCATATGCATGTATCAAAAATTGGATTTTCATCATAATTGACTGATTGAAACTTTTCTAAATTTCCCAAATATGGTATATTTTGTATAGGAAGAATATTGTGATCATCCGTTGACATCAATTTTTACGCGTTCAATTATATAAGTTATATAGTTATGTATCTGTATTTAATTATTTGCAAGTAATTAATTAATTATAATCACAGCTTACTATGAAGGCGTGATTCGGATCTTAGCATAAGTAATGACAAATAATGATCATGTTGGTCTTTGTTAGTAAATATTTTCTTTAGTAATAATAAATATTATAAAAAATAATAGATATATGTATTTATAATATTTCCTTTACATTGGGGATATTTGTTACAATCACACACAAAATTAGAATCATCATGAGGGGTAAACAACATTACCAAGAAAATTAATGCAAATATTACCACCAACCTTTCTAAATGGACCACATGTTTTTGGAAAAGGAAAATAATCCTTATTACCACTATAATCGCCACCATTATCCAATAAGGTCCGAACATTGCCTTGAACCCAATATTTTCTACCTTTCTTCATGGTAAAATTAAATAAATGGCAACCATCACTAGTACTATTGTAACAGGAGAAAGAATAAAGGAGGTTTAGGAGCAACTGTATTATTCAGATCATCCGTAATCAAAGCAAAACACTTTGGTTTTTTCTTTTTCTTTTTAGAGAATTTGGGTTCCTAACGGCATATCAACCGCGATAGTGATTACAGCCAATATAATATTTATATTGACCCATTAGAGAAAGCCGAAAATAATTGAATGTTTTTACCATATATGTTTAAAGACTTACTTTTTTCACTTTTTCCGATAACTCTGACGACCATTAATGTATACGTGAAAGCGATAATGTTGAATTTATATTTTATGGCTACCATCATTAAATTGATAAATTAATTATTTGTGGTCGTGGTTTTTATCTTCTCGAGAAGTAATTGAAAATCAATTTTGATGACAAGCGATTATCTTGAAATTGTTTTTACTGGTCAATCGAGAGAACTATACATTAATAGAAATTTTTGGCATGACCATTTTGAAAGGTTCGTTTTAATGAGTATTGTTTTTTTAGTTAATCCAGTCGTGAATTAAAAATCAAGAGTCATTTTAAATTCTTTCTACGATCAAATAATAATTTAAACAAGTGCTATAATTATTAATTTTAATTTGATAATTTCGATTTCACCAATATTTCGAATAGAATTAATTTGAAATTTTAATTCAATTCAATTCACATAACTAAAAATTATATTAATTAATATGTCTAACTTTTGAAACTTTCAAAATGGTCATTACGGAAGTAAGTCTTTGGAAATACAGTAAAAAAACACTCGACTATTTCTCTAATAGGTTAATATAAATTTTGTATAGATGTGTCAGCTCTACTTTGGCATGGAAACCAGGTGACCATACTAGGATCATGGATGGCAACAAAGCTGATCATTCAGGCGACTATAACTCTATAACAGTTATAAATTATTAAAATTTAAAATGGAGGAAGTTGAAAATATTGGATTCACAAAAAGTTCGGGAAAAATGAAAATCCGTAGTCCATTTACAAGTTCTAATGATACTTCTTTTATGTTTCATAGTAGTGTTGTTGTTACTTGGCTTTCGAAGGCTCAGATTTTTATAATACACATCACATTATAAAACAAGAGGTCTTCGTGATACCTTCTTTGATTATTATACATATATGTGTTTAATAATTTTTTAAATTATTATCAATTATGTATAAAGCAAATAATTGCTTTTTCATAATGACCAGTTTAAAAGAGAATTAAATTACCTTTCTATGATGAAAATTCATTGAATAATAAAATATTAATAAATTTAACAAATTATAATTAACTGCATGAATTTTATTGTGTATCAGATACATACTTCCTTCAAAATTCATCTGTTATATCTTTGGAACTGTGTAAATTTTTAAGTGCTACCTTTAATTTATTCTCATCATCTTTGATCCAAATAGCACCATTTACTATACCAAAACTGCCTTCACTAAATATTTTTTATTTTTAAATTGAGTATATGAAATTCAGTTTATGAACTCGCTTGAATTTGTTATGCTCTGGACCATTTATCAGAAACATCATCTGAATTTATTTTAAGTACTTTTTAAAATAATCGAGTGATTCTTCGCATTTATTCAGCATCTTGCATATTTTTCCTCTAAATTATTCGATTCTGTCTCTAATGATATATTAAAATCATTTAATGCCTCATATTTTCTGAAAATAGATAAGTTTTCCCTCGTAATCTTAATGCAAGAACATTATTTGGCTATATTTCCAATATTTCATTATACTTGCCTGAATATCTTTTTCGTGTAAATCTAGTTTAAACATAATATTTGCTTTTACAGTGGCTTCCAAAATAAACGCACCACCTAAATTGTAAATCGTTTTTTACATATAATTTTTTTATTTATAATTGAAATTAAAAAATTTTTTTTTTTAAAAATAGTTTATTATGTAACCTTTAATTGATCAATCATTATTAATCATGTGATTTCCGTAAAAATCATGGTGCGTTTATTTTGTCACTTTACAAAAATATTTTTATTTATTTATTTTATTGAAAAATTACAATAAAATTATTATTATTTTTATATATTTTTAACAATCTACCATCTAGTATAACCATCTGATGCTTTTAAAACATCCTTTACTCATTCAGGCATTGATTTTATTAGTTTAATACATGTATCTTTTGAATTTTCGTTCCAAATTTTAGATACATATTCCCATAATAAATTTTTCCCCTAATTTCAACATTTAATGATCCAAGGTGATGGTAGCATGATGGAAGTTCATTTTTTGATGATCATGTTACACAAATTTTATATTATCTGCGCAGAACAATGTGGAAAATTAAGCAAATCAGTTTCAATAAGTTTAGGATAATCACACAATAATTCAATGTATTACTAACACACTTTCTCTTGTGTGCAATATCTTAAAATACAGCCAGACAGGCAATCAGTTGATCTAAACCTGCTTACTAATACTCTCAAACAATGCAATTATGTGTAATATCTGAAAGTACAATGGTGTAAAAGTATCTTTAACAACTACTTGCACACTGCCAAAACTATTATAGACTTTTTGATATAACTTGCCAAGAAATAAAAGAAATAGTTTATTATATTTTATTAAAGTTTAATATTGGATATAACAAAAGCAATATATTACTGCTTTGGCGTATCTTATCACTTTTGTTATTCTGCTACATTAAATTTATGTTTGAATTGTTACAAAAATATAAAAGAAATAAAAGAGAATAACAATAGTGATACATTACTGCTTTGGCATATCTTATCACTTTGCTAGTCCTACAACTATTATTTATTATTATTAAAAAGTATTACAAATGAAAAATAAAAATAAAACTAAATTAAAATGTTCAAAATATTTAACTAAAAATAAAACTAAAATTAAAATTGTTTGAAATATCAAGTAAAATATTTTTATTTTGGTTCTTGTTCTTTTTTTTCAAAAAGGAATCTCCTCTTTTTCTTCCTCACCACAGCTATTTTTATAATATTTCTTCTTGTTTAACTGTTTATTTACCCTGGTATGAAAATTTTTTTTTTTGGATGATAGATAACACACAAGGATAATTTACTCAAATAGTGACACATATTATCCTCTATTATCCCCCATGACTCTGACTATTTTTGTGCTACCTCAATATAATGAATACATATAATTTTTGTTACCATATAAGTGTTGCACTAATAATTGCAACCCTGAGTCACAATACTTTGCAAGATCATTCATCTACTGCTTTTCTAACTAAATTTACATGAGCATCAATAAGTATCAGAATTATACATAAGGTATCTTAGAGACAAATTTTAAAACAATATGTAATTAGACTTATTATAAAGATAAAAAAATAATAAATTTTTGTATTTATTGTAATTATTGTAAAGTCAACCTTCCCTAAATATAAATTATTTTAATAAATTTTTATGCTTATTACAATTATATAAAGTCAACCTTCTCTAAATATATTATTTAATTATTCCTAAATAAAACTACAATTTATACAATACACATTTAATGAATTTAAAAAATTTGTGAATATATACTTCTCTACTTGTAAAGAGTTCTATTAAATAAGTTTCATTTGGATTAGATTATCAAAAAATAATCTCAGAGTTAGTATTATATGATATACATTTATGATTTTAGCCAATCATATATATGTAGATCACTTCAATTAAAGGAAACTTCCATCATGCTGGTGACAGTCAACATCATTCCAAAGATGTTCTATCGGGTTAAGGTCAGGTGACTGTGGAAGTCAGCTTAAAACATTAATTTTATTTTCTTCAAACCATTTTTCTATTCATTTAGCCATGTGTTTAGAGTCATTATCTTGTTGAAAGATAATATTTTCTATCTCCACTCCATAGTATTCTAGAGACCCTAGAAAGTCTTCATATAAAATTTGACAATAGAGTTTAGTATCAAGGCTTCCATAAATTTTTACAAGATATCCTGTACCTTCTGATGTAAAACACCTCCAAACAAAAATATTACTACCTCCAAACTTAACTGTAGGTTTAACAAGTCTATCATTAAGACCCTCCCCTTGTCTTTTTCAACAATATTGATATTCATTAGAACTAAATATTTGAAATTTTGATTTATCAGATCAAATAACCTTTTTCAATCTTCAACAATCCACTTCTTATATTTTCTTGCAAAGGCAAGACGTTTTTGACAATAAGTTTTGGAGAGTAGAGACTTTTTACATTTAACTCTTACTATCAAACTATATTTTTTCAATACTTTACATTAATGTTTTCATATATTTTTAATAATTTTTGAAGAGCTACAGCTGTTGGTGCTTCATTAAACATAATTCAGTGAGTAAAGGTTTGTTCATTCCTCTTATATAAAATTTGTTTTCTTCCTTGACCTTCTTTGTTATTAACTTTTCCAATTTCTTCAAACTTCTTTTTAAATGTAAAATTAAGATATAGTGAATATTTTCTAGTCTTTAGCAATTGCATATTCTTATCATTCAAGAGTTAATTGCATTATTTATAATAAAATGAGTGGATTTTTATAAGTGAATTAAATGAATGTAATATAAGAAATATTTTATCTTATTTTAATTTTTGATGGTAACTATTTAAAAAAAAACTTTACTTAGAAATGTTTTGTTGAAAAAAAAATACCAAAATAAATGCATCAAGATTTTATTTACCATTGTTAATCAATTGGTCAATTGGTATCCAAACTGGTTTCTTGCAACTTATAAAATTTCAAATAATTAATTATTATTAGCCATTAAATTTTTTTTATTTTTTTTCTTTAACATAAATTGAAATCTTATCAATTAACAACAACTTAAATAGTGAAGACATAGAATTTAAAGGTCTGCTTGTATAAATAGCTTCTGGATAATAATTATTTTTATTATTATAAATTCCCTCCAATTCTTTTAAAAATTTCCTTTTTACAGAATCTTTTTTTAAGTTTTCAGCTTGGTTGAATTGATTTTGATTTTCCC